GGGGGGGGGTTCGAAGGTGAAGTGGGGGATCGATGACCAGTTGAGGGCGCTAATTCGCAAAATAAGGTGATTTTAGGTGACTTGACCGTGATTTTGCGCTTCACCTCCCCCACCCAACCCCCGTGGACGCCTGAGATGGCCCAGAATTGTGCTTTTAGACCACATATTAGGGACCGGCAATGAAAAGATAACGTTATTTGCATAGGCAACTGGTCCGACGACCTCGTCATGGCGTGGGACGACGGGAGGGGGAACTCCCTTCCTGCCCTCCCGCTGGCGCCACCAATCGCTGGAACTTGGTGATGTTTGCAAACGCAGTTTAAATCACAGATAAAAAGTTGTGAGAAATCAATGTAGTTACGCAAAATACAATTTTGAACACAATGCGTTGGACAGGACAGGCAACAAATTCTAATAGGCCTCTTTCTGAAAGACAAACCGATTCAGAGACGTATCCAGGGGGAGCCGTGGGAACCGTGGCTCCCTCCTTTGGCGATTTATTTTGATTACATATAAAATGGTGATATGATAATGATGATGAATTTTACTATATAAAGGTGTCATTTCCGGCCATAGAGGTACTATTTCCTCAATTGTTCACGCCTCATCCCCATCTCTCATGGTAGGGCTGAGGTGGGTTGACCCTATATCTGTTTTAAGTCCCTCCCGGCCTGGGTCACCTTTCGAATTTCTGGATCCGCTACTGATGAGTTATTACTTATTATAATTATTGTTAGGCCTACTAATATTATTTATGATGTTTAAGCTCAATTTTTTGGTCAAACACCCTTTTGTACCAGCAGAAATACTATATCAGTTACAACATATCCATTCCCCCCCCCCCACATGAATACATAACAAACTATTGACTTTTTAGTTCTTTCTAGGACATGTCTAGGCATGGCATCATATTTCGTAGTCATAATTGGATAAAATGATAGTATACCGTACATTCATTGGAATAATAAAAGTGAAAAAAAACTATACTATTCATCATCAGGTAACGATATAATATCGGTCTTCATTTATGAAATTAAAAGAATAATGATAATTATGAGTATGGTGACTCCGAGGAATGACAAAAACGTGAAACAATAATTGATTTTACGTTTCGTTCTTTATTGAGAACATTGTCAAGAATGACAATTAATGATAATCTGATTTGATAGAAATGATAATCTATTGCGGTTAAAGACGGCGCATGCGTAATTCCGCATATTAAACCGCCGTCGCCATACTCAGGTACCGGGTCCTTGAACTTAATTCCACCCAGTATAAACAAAAAGATCTTCCCAACAAGGTATAAATAAGTCAAAAAGCGATGTCTCCACTGAGTGACGCTCACCCCTCTCGGACTGTAATTACTATAAGCTATTGATGTATATAAATGTCGATTTCCGTGATTGATATTTTTCTATTATAATACATTAAGGCTATCATGATTGTTGATTAATTGTAAGATTATTAATGACGCTTCACATCTTGTAAACTCATTTTAAAAAACAACTCTGGTAGACTCCGCCCTAAATATAGAACATCTAGATGTAGAAACTCATTTGTACACGACTCTCGTTTTTTCCTATATTTTCTCAGTTTTAGTTCAGTCTCGATTAGCAATATCTGATTACACAATTTTCTGCATAATTGGTGTTTCTTTTAAAATTTTCTGCTAAATGTTTATATATATTTTAATGTCGTTGTTTTTTATGTTCTATTGTTTAAACTAATTTCATGGTGTTATATTTCATTGTATTAACTCATGGACACAATTTCATTAACTGTATATCGTATTGTCTACAATAAAGTATATATATATATGTATATATAGGGCTATATAGGCCTATATATATATTTAAGCAAATAAATAAATAATAACAAGAACAGTGCTCAAATAGGAACAAGATGTTATAAGCATACCGCATGCCGTTCAATGAAAAGATAGGCTTAGTATATCTATTTTTTAAACGTATACAACAGTTTCGGACATATCTTTCTTCGTGATCAAGAGTATAGAAAATACGGAGATAAGAGAAGCCTCACAAAATAACTGTTGACATAAGGATAAAATAAAATAATCACTGGCGTATACAATAAAAATGAATAATTAGATAGATACATGCTTTTAGCAAATATAACAGAAGCGAAGCGTTGAAATAAGCCTAACCCTGAAACCATGACATTCAATATAGGCTAGTGTTGTAGTGGGAATTAATATCTTATATAGTTATAAGTTGAAGTAGGCCTAGATATGTCTGGTTTTTCTCTCTGGTAGTTAAGGTGGTATCCTCTGTTTCGGATTTTATCTCCACCGTTTTCGTTGTCTTCTTTGGTTTCTTGTTCTCTTAATATGATAACAAAACTGATAGGAATATATTAATAGAATTATAATTAAATGTAGCAGAAAAAAAGTAACATATCCATGCTGTTACTAAAGAATGTATGCATATTGAATACTATCACATGATGTTAAGTCATATGCCTGATTGGTTGAAGTGAAATACGTGTGGCGCGGTGTATTCCATTTCACGACATCTTTTTATAAGCAGGGAGTTCACTACGGAGGCCAGTCAACGAAAGAAGTAATTACTAATTACCGGGATTGTTAGTGGAAAGAGTGGACATCTTCACATGCCACATTAGAATTTGGGTTGTCTGGCCGTAGTTTTAAGTGTTCAGTGTACTATAGATTGATGGTCTGAGTGGTATATTGTGTAATAAACCATTTAATCGATACCAGGCCTACTGAAAATGGCTAAAGTGTTTGGGCCTGCCGAGGCCATCAAATCGGTCGTTCGCGACCCGAAATCAAATAAACCCTGCCCTAGCACAAAGAAAGGTTCACGCTCAAAACAGCCTGTTAACATTCTCTGCAAAGTTTATGATGCACAGAGAACTGGTAAAGGTGTCAACTGCATCAGTATGGTAGGTATTAGAGTGTAAATATTTTTTGAAATAGACAAATATATTAGAATATATTTTAATTACGTATTTTGCATTTTTTCCTTTGGTTTGAATTCAACAGACTAGTCTAGCTAGGCCTATGCTTGTTGCAGTTTGGTATAGGCTAGGCTAGGCTTATCCTACATCATGTGTGTGTGTTTTTTTTAACAGATACCCAAAGAAATTCTAAATGACTGTGACAGAAGAATTGGCATTGAGGTATCTGAAGACATTGCTACTACTGTGCATGATCTGGCAAATGTTGTTGAAAATGTTTTTAGTAAGAACTCTAGATCGCAATCACAACGCAATACTGAAATTAGGAAAGGCATTCATGTTTTAAAGGCAAGTTTATTTATTATAAGGTTCTCCCGCATTTAAATTTTCCGACAGAAACAGAAACCAGATTTGATTATTTTTCCTTTAATTTTCCTTTATTTTCATTGTTTTAAAATCGCCACTTATCACTGCAGATCAGCATTTCATCTTTTATAATTTAATATTGAATTGTTCAAGTTGCGGATTTAATAGTTTTCATGTCATATTTTCTTCAATGATTATAAATAATCACGACAGCCAAAGCAAAAAGCTTATTGCTCAAATCAAGTTAACAACATTCTTGCAACATCGCTGACCTAGCAATGAGCTTATGGCCATTTGCCATTGCAGATATGAAAATGAAATGGCTATAATATTTTAATTAGTACATGTACTAGGACGTAGGCCTGCATTAGCAGGCCTCGAATTTAACTGCGGCCATTGCCGACGGTGCCCTCCCAGTTGGCCTTGGTGCCCCTGAAAAATGAAGCACGACGACGACCACTACTTGCCTGCCCTTTTGAAGCCTTGGCCTCGGTGCCCTCACGATGCTTAATATAGATCGTTTGACACGTAGAATAAATCTAAGTAAGAACGTTTAAATCTTGAAAGAAAACACGAAAGCCAAAAACGTAGGTCGCCTAAGCCAGGTTGCAGTGACAGAACAGAACATGAGAGAATTTCCATGTGTGGTGTTGATACCCACGTGACCAAAGAGAAACATGGCCGATTGGTGATTTTTAATTAACAACATTTGCGTTAATATAACTTTGATTAAATTTCATAAAATAAACATTATAATATTTACCCACATGGAGTCAAATAATTATTGTAGGCAAACAGAATAAAAAAAAAAACTGGATGAAAATATTTTTTTTTTAACGAAAAACCCATACTACCACAAGTTGAAGCAATCTTGATTACGCAACGTGTATCGCGGTAACTATACAGCCATTTTGTTTTGTCGAGTATTACAAGTTTTCTATTCGACTGGTCGTCTTCGTTGAGTAGGATGTTACCGCTGCGTGCAGGTGGGCGTGGTTTAACAAAGAACGACCAGTCGAATACGGCCTTTGTATAGTTGTAAACATGCGCTTGCTGCACAGCTAACTTTGGGCGATCTTGCGTCATTGCAGCTCTCGCGGCCAGTTTAGAGTTGTGGCTTCCTCTCCGATGACGACGGACTGAGCAACAGCACAAAGATATCAAACTTCTTGAAATTTGACTGTTTTGTACGATCGCCGACTGCCGCAGTATATTCCAACATTGAATCGATAATTAATGGAATACTCTAAACAAAGTCATATTACCATGACAACTATGGCTTGGCTAGGCCAGGCTTGGCTTGGCCTAGCTTGCCTAGCCTGGCTACCGACGAATCAAGGCACTCGCGGGAAATTAGTACTGAGGCTAAATCAAATTTTTCCTTGGGTGCCCTTTTATATTTGAAATTTTGGCCTTGGTGCCTTTCAAAATCATGTCATACCCCGGAGGCCATTTGGCCTTGCCCATAAAATCCCCAAATTCGAGGCCTGCATTAGGCTTGTAAAAATAAAAATATTATTTTTCCTATCTACCCCTTCCCACTGATGTTTGCTAGTACATTAATGGTTAAGGCCAAATACATAAAAATCATAAGAATAGAATCAAATTGTAAAAATTGGAATTTCCCATAAGTGATGAGCCTTTTAAGAATAATCAGACAGATAGAAGAAAACTACTGTCTTATAAAACACACATGATTTGAACACCGTATTTTGGTCTGGTAATATGCCTCTTTTTCTTTCCAACCCGAAATACATTATGTATGAACATAATACATGACTTGAATTATTTTTATTGGATGAGCTGTTTGTTTGATCATGCATGACCGTGATCATTCAGTTTGTTCATTTCTAATATAAAACAAACAACTGTAGCGTTGGATTTGACAATACACATTTTTTTTTTTTAAAGAATTGAGCTATTTTTGATGGTTTAAAAGTATTTTTGTTCACCTTACCATCAACTATTTATGATATTCTTTATTACAAGAATCATTTGATTGCGTGGCATGCCGGGACCCCAAGTTGGGAGAAGCTACTTATTCAGATCTTGTTAAATGAGCTTTCTTAACCCTTTCCAGTCTGCCCCATTTCCATTGCCTGAGGCTGTACCAAACCTGAGAATTACATCATCTACACTAAATGTCGGGTTTTTACTGGGCGCATGCATTTTATTTGGTCTGAATACAGGAGGCCCTACAGAAATACTCCTACATCACTCTCAAACAATCCTGTAGAAGGCAGCATAGCTATAACAAAATTTATCATAAAAGCTATACAGGGCGTACGTACGACGCACCTTGCTATAAAGTATGGTCAAAAAGGGCGTCATCGCGACGCCATACGACTGGAAAGGGTTAACATTCATAAATTTTATTTAACTATTCTTGGTGAAAGATAATAAATAGCAGAAGATAGAGCAGCTTCCCAATATAGTGGAATATCCGTTCAAAAGGCATTGTGGGTACACGGAAAGCAATTTTACTGCAACCACACGGCGGCGCTATATAAAAATAGTAAAGGCGCTGCTCTTGTTCGCTTGTTTCCTTTAGTTTCTCCACATAATAAAATGTTCAAATTTTACTGTAACCGCAGGAGGGTGAATGTTCTATCGATTTTAATGCAAATACGCGGAGCAGCTCATTCTTCTGCTATTTAAGTTCTTTGGTTCTTTGGCCTTTCATTGTTTACAGTGCGATCAGTGTGAAAGTATAGGAAACAGTAATGTTAGGTTTGCGAATACAACCGCCCACTATTAATGTGAAAAATAACTGGCAAGAAAAGGAAATTTGATTGTCATTTACTTATTCTAGCATTTGCTGTGCTTTGTATGCTTTGGAATTTGTGATCCTTCGAAAACCTTAGCTAGCCTAGAAATAGTAACTTGTGAGGATCGCAGTTTGCGGATCAAAGACGTACCTAAACAGGCTGTAGATTAGCAAACGAATATGACAAAATTCAATTTCCAATAAATTGGTAATGTATCAACCAACATTAACATCATATGTACTTTACAGGTGAATTCTTATTACAAAACGTCACTCGCGTTGCCTGTACAATTTATACCCACTATACGTCACATGACCAACCTAGCAGTATCTGTATTAATACATTAATATTGTAGTAAAAACATGAAAATATCGTGAATATGCAAGAGATCATTTTCCGGGAGATTCATGCTTGTTTGCAAACCTGCGACCTTATTTTAATGCTGATGAAATTTTTTTTTAGGACATTGTAGATCTGCTTAATGTTGAAGGTTTTCAAGATGCATTGGGATGCTTCAAAGAGAATAAAGTTGTAAATGCTGAAATGTTTGACTTGTTTGGTGGTGTACAGGTAAATCAATGCTTTATAATGTAAAATACTAATACCGTTGTTCCTCAAGTGTAAGCCGACGCCCTGCTTTGTGCCCAACTTCACGTACTGCTCTTTCCTCGGTTAAATACCCAAGGTATGGTTTTGTTTGGGCCTCCCTCTATGTTGACAAATCCAAGAAAAAACCCCACGTATCTTTTGAAATTTAAAATCAAATTCCAGAGATGAAATGATTTTACTAATAAATAAATACATAAGTAATTTTCGCATTTAAAGACTTGAGACGGTTAATAAAATTAAGCTTTATTACTTCATTCTGTCATTAATTTTTAACATCTAAACTTATATGTAACAAAGTACCTTTGATCTGCCTAAATATGGGTGTGATGATGCCAATATTAATAGGCCGATCATAGATATTTGCCATAGAAAATATTCATGAACAGGGCATGACAAAATTTTGGTTTAATTTTTGTATTATTATTTTTAAGATTGTTGTTGACATCCTACTTAGAATGCAAAGTAATCCTGTGAGCAAAAGAGCCAAAGGTAAGGTGGAAATCGTTGTGGACTTAATTGTCAATTATTATTACATCATACTACATAGTCATTTGTGTAATTAACGAGCACAATTGATAGATAATCTTCTGTATGTGTATATTTACACAGTCCTCTTAGGTAATACTCAGTGATTAGATCAGTTATGTGGTATGTGGGAGTGGTTGGTACAGCAGTTTATATTTCAATCTCTCAACCTTATAGGGGGTGCGGGCAGGCTTGTTGTGTTGTGTCCTTGGACAAGGCATTTTAACTACCAATTGTTTTTCTCCACCCCTTATAATAGAGGTGTACAGTGCTGGTAGATGCAAACATTGACTAGTAGTAGTTATATTGTAGAATTGTTTCTTACTGAGTATGTGTTCCATAGGAGTTGGCGGTGTAAATGATGCAAAGCACAAAGTTCTTGTTGCCACGCTCTGTTACATATAGAAGCAGACATATTTACATTTTCGATCATCAAAAGCGTATAAAATTCAATTGCAAAAAAAAAATAAAAAAAAAAATACTCATTTAAAACATTGATCAAACCAGTTCATTTTGTTCCATTTTTACCAAATTTTTGAAATTATAAGCCAAATAGTATGATAATTATTTTTTTTCATTTTAACATACGAGTAAATAACCATTTAACCATTTAGCCATTTAGGGCACAGGTGTTCCAAGGGCAGCCGTGGGCCACATGCAGCCTGTCAGTATTTTGTTGCAGCCTACAAAAATAATTTAAAAATCCTGTGTGCCCCCTGCTACCTTCCTTGTCTCGTAAAGCCACTGTTGTTACAATTTGCTGCTGTAATAAACTGATGATTATTACTCATGTATTTTAATCTTGTTTTTCTCTTAACACGCAGAGGCTGATTGGAGGCATGTTTGCTTAGATACACTTCATCACATGTGTCTGACAGTAGGTTAATTTTCTGAAAAATTTCTAGAATATAGTAGTTGTTATATAACTAGGTGTAGTAGTTATAACTTTGGTCTGCAAAGGTAAACCTTCAGTTACTGGTAAACACATGTAATAAACATGTTGAAATAATAGGTCATTCAGTTGATTAAGTTAACTGAAGGAATAAATACAAATGGTTACAAGTGGTTATAATAATAATAATAATGCACCAATATCACTAAGCCGAAGTAAAAATCAAAGGCACTGCATGTTTAGATGTGTGAAAAAATATATTCTGCTCTGTATACTGTATACAAATGCAGCCTGTACTTAAGTACGAATTATATTACGAATCTTTACATGACGCTATTTGGAACATATTCAATAATTCTTTTGGTTACCTTCTTTACAGTTGCAATTCCATACAGTACCTTCTTTCTATTGTATGTTTCTATTGTTCATGAATGTTTTTGTACAAACGTTATAATGTAGGTTCTCTTTTTAGTATAATTCCATGTTAGATGATGGATTCATGGAAGGAAAGAAGTTACTTAAATATTAATGTCTGTTCATGGTCATGTTTTTGAAATTCAGTAATTTCTCTGCTCAAGTTAACAATTTGTATGTTACTGCAAAATGAGATGTATTGCATTGTACATAATTTCTGCTATTGCTATTAAAATAAAAATTGAACCACCCACATAGTTTTCCATAATAGGCTATTTGCATAACACTAATGTTTTATTACAATGCTAGATCCATGTTTCTCAATGCCATTACAGTACTAGTACAACGTTGGTATGGTAGTCAGGTGTTTTATCAGATGTTCAAAATACAAATACCATATTTATTCAAAAAAATGCCTGGGGTGTTTATTGTTGAGAAGGGTGTATGAGGGGGTGTTTATTCGAATAAGTACCCTTAATTTCACTGTAAAGTAAATGTTGGACTACAACACATTAACCGTCATATTGTGTTATTGTGTGATCATAAAAAAATTTATTGATCCCAACCATGTTACATTTACAAAATGTAAAGATGTTGCGTTACATTAGAGTTTTAGGGGGCGTATATTTGAGGAAAATAAAAACTCCCTGGGGCATTATTTGAGTGAGGTGTTTTTTTCCAATTTGAGGCTCTTGAGTGGAGTGTTTATTCGAGGGAGGCATTTATTCAAATAAATATGGTACTTATTGCCTTATGCTTCTGTAGATTTAATATTTTTTTAAAGCAACCACTGTTGGTTTTTAATCATTTAATTTATTTACGAAATCTTTATCTTTATCTTTTTTTTTTATCTTTATCTTTATTGTTTTAACTGTTTAAAACAATATTTAAACAGCAATTGTGTGAATTTACTTAGGGAAAGATCAAAGTTTATGAAAAGCGACAGTGGGGGAAAAGGAACCTAGGGAATCTATATTTTAGTAATGGGGAATTGCTATTAGATGATCAAAAATAGCTTACCTCTATTCCCCATCTAAGGATGAATAAGGAAAAGGAAAGATAAGGAAACATGAGAAGAGAAAAGAAAGGAAAGATAGACATGGAAACATTAGAAAGGAAAAGAAATGATAAGAAATATAAGAATGAAATTTGAAAGACAAATACTAATTATAAGAAAGAAAATGAAAGGAAAGATAAGGAATCTTAGAAAGGAATGTGAAAGATAAGATGAGGAAACATAAGAAAGGTAAAGAAAAGTAAAGATCAGGAACATTTGAAGGGAAAGGAAGAAAGACGAGAAGCAAAAGGGAAAGAAAAATGAAAGGATTTGGGATGAATAGGAAAGTTACAGGCCTTGAAATGATTCCAATTTACCAAAGCATTGTAATAACATTTATTGATAATCATCAAACCAATTATTTGAACTTAATTTTTTTTTTTTTTTTTTTCTGTTAAGCGCCTCGAGGTTGTGTCAACGTGAGGCGCTATATAAATCCAGAATTATTATTTATTACTATTATTATATCGCAATCCAAAGCTTTTTCTAGTCACACCAATGTTATGTTCTTAATGGCCTCTGTGATGAAAAATGAGTATGAAATGTTACATAGGTTCAAAATTAATATAATTAGATTCATAGAATGTGTTTAACCTTTCTGTAAGTGGCAAAATATCGATGTTGGTACATGAACATAAAAATCAAAATACAGTAGTATTTTTATAGATGAAATATTTAGAGATATCTGTTTAAACCATTATCGATATATGCATTGCTAAATTTAAATATTGGGAAGACAGTAAATGTGATTAGATGAAAGTAGTTCCTTTTTGAGTTTTTGTTCAGATGAAAAGTTGTGTAAAACTTCCACTTTCTTGTTTGTAAATGACTGTACTTCCCTCTGTAAGGAGAAGTGTGTGTGTGAATAAATAATGTGGTAGAC